CTATCCAGTTCATTCGAATCTCGCCGGGGACTGCGACAAGGTGACGGACTCTCATGCCTACTCTTCAACATCGCTCTAGAAGGTGTGATGCGACGAGTCGGGCTCAACAGCCGGGGTACGATTTTCACGAAATCCGGTCAATTTGTGTGCTTTGCGGACGACATGGACATTATCGCAAGAACATTTGGAACGGTGGCAGAACTATACACGGTGGTAGAACTGGTGGTGAGTGCGTCAAAAACAAAGTACATGCTAGTAGGCGGAACCGAACATGACAGGATTCGTCTAGGAAGTAATTTCTCGATAGGCGGTTGATACTTTCGAGGTAGTGGAGGAATTCGTTTACCTTGGATCCTTACTGACGGCTGACAACAATGTGAGTCGTGAAATACGAAGGCGCATCATCAGTGGAAGTCGTGCCTACTACGAGCTCCAGAAGAAACTACGGTCAAAAAAGATTCACCCCCGCACCAAATGTACCATGTACAGAACGCTAATAAGACCGGTGGTCCTCTATGGACACGAGACATGGACTATGCTCGAGGAGGACCTGCAAGCACTCGGAGTTTTCGAGCGACGATCTTCGGCGGTGTGCAGGAGAACGGTAAGTGGCGGCAAAGAATGAACCACGAGCTCGCTGCACTCTACGGCGAACCCATCATCCAGAAGGTGGCCAAAGCCGGAAGGATGCGGTGGGCAGGGCATGTTGCAAGAATGCCGGACAACAACCCTGCAAAGTTGGTGTTCGCTACTGATCCGGTTGGCACAAGAAGGCGTGGAGCGCAGAGAGCACGATGGGCGGACCAGGTAGAGCGTGATCTAGCGAGCATTGGGCATGACCGAGGATGGAGAGCGGCCGCCGCAAACCGAGTATTGTGGCGTACTATTGTTGATTATGTCTTATCTTAAATGTGATGTTGTACAAATAAATGTATGCACTTAAAAAAATATATTTACCTGAAAATATATTTCGGATATTAAGGATTTAGGGAATTCAAATTCTATAAGAACATCTCACAGCAAATAGTTCGAAAGCTATTTGAAGGGCTTATCAATTTCACCCAATATCGATATTTTCCAATTTGAGATTTCCAAAATGCATGATAGTGCATGATAGTGGTTTACCACCCATTGTAGCACGGAAACTAAGTCCGACAGCAGTGGGCTCTCTTCTCTGTTTGTCTTGATCAAGCTTAATAACCTCTGATTGTCCTCAACATGTAGCTGTATGAAGGGCCAAAAACGGATTGGGTAGATCGATAGGCAAAGTCACCTATACGCATCTACGGAACAAGAGAATCTCCTTCCAGCAACTTGATCAGCCAATTGGTCAAAAATACAAGCCCCCAAACAGGAAGATGCCCCAATGAGTGGGGAAAAGAGCCCGCCCTTTATCCACGAAATGTTATCAACAGGGAGTTGGCATTCCCACTCTCCCCGTCCAAATCGCTTCAATCGGGTGCCCTGTTGGACCGTCCCTTCCCTTTTATTTATGTATTTCAATGTATATACGAGTTGATTGTTATGATTATTGTCAATAATACTTACATTTCGATGAAAATCGTGATACTTAGCATTACAGAAACCAATTTTGAATCGTAGACCATGTCGTTCAACAATCCCCTCGTTCCGAGACGGGGCTCTGTGATAAAGCCATCTTCTTCATCATGTTCGCTCGTCACCCGGAATGCATGCAAATGAAAAAAGAGATACAACGAATTTGAGATTTCCAAAATGCCATAAACTAATCAAAACATTCAATATAATAAGTACTAATGAGGAACGATAGCCTTTTGATTTTAGAACCATGAGCTTGTCAATTTTCTCTTACGTAAGAATTCATTTTCATATTTACGTTATATGGGCTGAATTTGCCCCGAATTGCGATTTTCAAATTGTTTCAACCCTGTATAAGTACACATCAGGTAGAATAATTTTAAATAACCATTACTGCATACATTTAGCTTAAATTTAGACGTCAATTCTTCAAAATTAATGTATGTGTGTTCCTCCACCCGGGATTAAGTTCTCCGGTAGATAATTTGTTTGCTTAGATAAACCATTTGTTTTTCCTCATGCCAACTTTTCCGCGATTGGCATTCACGCACCACACGCTGAACAGAACAATCAACCCTAATTGGTTAATAGCCACCCACAAGCTGTCAATACTTTTCACCACCCCAGACGGGTTTTCACGCCTACTACTAGCGCCAACATCCATCTCCGATCGCAGTGGCCCTGGACATGGACGCAGCTTGACCAAAGTGCCCTTTTGCTCGTTTAAACCAACCCCTCACACCCCCTCCCCCCCTCCCATTATTAGATGGAAATACCCAACCCAACTTCCGATTATAGTCCGATAATTATCGCCAGTATCGATTTTCACCCCCACACACACTTTCTGGGTGTTGCGAAATACATTATTTACTATAGAAGGAGAATATTCAGAATCAAGTCATCGTCGCAGCAGGCCTGCCCAACCTTTCGAGGCTTGCTTGCTGCATTTTGTTTATGTATTTCTCATTGATTCTGGGCTAGGATTCACAATGATGACCTGGCAGCGCTGCCATAGAGAAATACGTACCGCCTAGCTCCCGGCCGAGTGTGTGAACATAAAATCAAGCGTTAATAATTGCATTTTGCTCGCCTATTAATGCTAATCGGACTCAGTCATGCCGAGCTTGGAAAGCTCGTGTGAAAGTGGTTCTGCTCAACTGCGACGCTAAATGCTGTTCGGTCAGTCGAAGATTCACGGGTTGCTTTGTTTCTGATAATAACGGCCTACTTGTGATGATTGTTGCGCAAGCACAATGAAGAGCGCATCAAGTGTGTTTGTAGCTTAAGTGCTTTTCAACGACTTTCAACGTTTTCCAACGCTCTGTCGGGATCAAAACAATAGACTTGAAGAGGGCCGAGATATGTAGAAGGAAGGAAAAATTTCCCCGCCCGGCGGTATGCAATGCAGTTTGCTCAATGGCGCTGATGTTGTTGTTTGTATTGGAATGTAGAATGGGGTGCGAAAATTTGCTCGACTCAGAGCAAACACGGGAGCAGACAAGCGAGCCGAGCCGGAGTGAGTGCGGTGGCATTTCACAAAGATTATAATGAAGTTTATTTGTCTGTTTGAAGAGTTCTCGAGCTCAAATTGGATTGGATACGGTTCGTTTCGCCCGGCATGGGTTCTTTTCGTCACTTTGTCAGGAAGGGGCAGGGGGGGGGGCTGAAGGACGACGACGACAACGACGTCGTGTATGAGCGTACAGTAATCCCTCCAATTATGCGGTGGATGGTACCGTTCACCCACCGCTATGTATCGGCTGTTCTTCAACCAATTGAGTTGATTTAATGATGACTAGCTGACTAGTTTATGGCTAGCACTAATCACAAACAAAAAATCAACGTAATTGAATCGCATAAATGGAAGCATTACAGTATTCTGGAAGAGTGGATCAGCAAAACAGCCGTAGGGTGTAAAAATGGGACACCAATGCCCGTAGATTTTCCCCTTTCAGCTATCGGTTGTCTCTAGGGCTCTTGAAAGTGGATGGAATAGCAGAATTATCGGTTTCTTGCGGATGGGGTTGTTGGGGGAATGATGGAAGAATTTTGCTTCCATGTGGACCTGATGAAAGAAAGGTGTCTCTTGTTAAAGTTTTACGATGTTTGTGTGGGACTTCAATTAAACCATGATTCGGTTTTAAAAAGTGTCATTTGGCCGGCCTAATTCTATTGAAGCAAAGTACCAAGCGTCATGAATATCACAACATCAAATTAACTCACGGCGACGATTCGATTTGATCTAAGAACCCCAAGGGAAATTTGTGTTTATAAATAAACCATAAAAGCACCCCACCTAAAAGTTTCCTTTCTCATTGCAACAAGTTTATATCACGTGCCGCGTATAATGACAGCAATTTTGCATGTTTACGATCGTATAACCCCTATCGGAAACGATTAATCTCAGCAAACCGCGCGCACACACACACTCACACACCCACACAATACAATTGTAGGAAACACTTCATCTAGTTAGCCGCGCCAGGCAGCGGAGGCTCAATTTCACCACATTGTAAAAGCCCTCTTCCATCACTCACGGTAACTCAAACATAAATGTCACACGCACGCAAACACGATTTTTCAATCGCAATTCGTCAAGAGTTCTTTTACACCGACCGAAGCACGGAAATCAAACCGGTCATAACTGACGACGACGACGACGACGATGGCGGTTGTAACGGCTCCCAGCGGGGGCGTCTCCCAGGTGGAAAATTAATTGAAAGGCTTACCGTGACCAAGTTGCCGGATTTATCGCTCGACGACAATCGTCATCGTAAATGTCGCGGCGATCCGTGTGCTAATTTTAGTGCGATTAAACCGACTGCACAATCGCCATGGCTTCCACGTTCAGCAAGTGCCTACTGTGTGCACGCGGGAAAGTAATTACGAACTTGTTAAGTGATAAATTGTAGCAAAAACCGAAAACTCCAGTTCCAAAAGCCGTAAACAACCACGGGAAAAGGATGTTTATCTGAAATTGAATCGGTACTCTTGCGCGAACAACAAGAATCTCATGTTACATCCGGCAAAACGGGATGAGACTCTGCTCTGCCGGCGGCTCTCCGCCATCTCAATAATTGCGGTAATCCCCCAGGGGCAGCAAGCAGCAGCAGAAACAAAACCCAAACAGTTGAAACTTACCAGGGATAAGAGACCCACAGCAGAGATCCGATAAGGAATGTGGGTCGCTTTTGGGTTGGCCCAGAGCTGGCTGTCCGTTTGTTTATCCATTCGTCTGCCTTTCAGCCAGCCTGCTTTGTTAGCTTCGATCTATTGATTTTGAGGATGAACATGATTCTTCCGTTTGCCGAGCGACTGTGGGCTTCTTATTCTCATTTGCTAGATTGGGCAAGGGTATTGGGAATTAAGTGATGCAACAATGATAAACAAGATGGGGAATCGATTGTTGACCTCTGCGATGGGATAGGCCGTAAAGTATAGACATGGCAAGAGTGACGGTTCCATTGGGGCGAACCACCCGGTCAGGTGCGAATCAATAATGGCTGAACTTGGAATGATTTCTGAACTTTGGTAGGCTGGCTTATCTGATTAACTGAGCAGTTTGAAAGGAAGCACCATGGTGAACTTCTAATCCGTGATTTATCTAGATTTCCTCTAACCTTTTAAGATCCTAGTAGTGAAAATAAAAATCAATACCCCATCGCATATATCTGTCTTAGCATTGACCGTTAGGCTCCTTTAAAACGCTGTTCGTTTCTTGGAAGGCATCATCAATAATACTTCACCAGCCCTCGTTCGGTCGATATGTTCCCATCGTCTAACAGGGTGGGAATGGGTTTTGAAGTCGCATGGTTGTGTATGGATTGGTATAATTTGTCAAAGTAAACTTTTCACATGAAACGAACAGGGCAGACAGACAGGGCCCCACAAAATATTCACATCAATTCCACACTGATTTGTCATAAATAAAACTTTATATGTAGCAAACTCGTTAGAATGCATATTGCATTATGCCAGTAGTAGTATAGTTGAAAAACGTAAACACGTATATTCGAATAACAAATTAAACAAAGATGAAGAACCCTTCAGGCTAAGCAATTGGAATGTACGAACAATTTAAAAGCATAATCAATCGCAAATAAACAATTTTTTCCTACTACCCACTTAGCAAAATTTATGCAAATTTAAGTGCTCTGAGACTGACATATACGAGCGTCAATTTTGACATAAATTTGAGTCAAAATAGATGCAAAATTCAGCTCGAGTTAGCAAAGATGACACCAAGAATTTTGATTTTGAATCGGGTTTCCATTGACGAACCCTACATCTATGGCCGTTGCCAGACACATGTCCAAACCGATGGATTAGATCACGCTTTGTTATAATCTTGCGTGCCGATGTAGTGATTACGCTGATATCATCCGCATATGGCACTAGCAGGTCAGTATCACACATTCGCTCGAGGGACTCCACCAGTGGATGTAAGTATAATACGAACAAATGCATTGATATTGGATCCCCTCGAAGACTACAAATCAAGAAGACTGGCAACTCTGCAAAAAATCAGGCGGCAGTAACGGCAACGCCTCTTCTGAGCAAAAGTGGAGCCTGTGTATGATGGTGTGTGTTAATTCACGAGTGCATTCACACACATAGGTAGAAAAAAAGTGAAAAGTTTCTTTCTTTGCTCTATGCTGACAACGAGTAAAATTCCAGCTGAAATTAAACAGATGCGTAAGTCAATTGGGGCCTCACAGCCTAGTCAGTAAAGGCACGGTATTACCAAACCGAAGGCAGCGGGTTCGATTCCCGGTCCGGTCGAGGGAATCTTTCGGGTTGGAAATTTTCTCGACACCCTGGGCATAGAGTATCATTGTGCTTGCCACACAATATACAAATTCATGCATTGGTATTGGCATCGAAAGCTCTCAATTAATATGTAACTGTGGAAGTGCATTTAGAACACTAAGTTGAGAGCACGCAATATGCTAATATGCGCTAAGCAATAAGCTTGAAATGCGAATAAGAAGAAGAAGAAGAAGTCAATTTGTTTTGAAAATTAAAACTATGGCAATCATGCCATTCACAATGATGGTGGGACCTTCCTTGATCATTAATTTGCTATCTCAGAATTATCTTCCACTTTTCCTAACCCATGCAGTGATGCATTTATGGGCATTCGTATGGCATTCGTAAAATGCACGCCCGTTCCGCATGGCTTTGGCACCTGACCACAGTGGGGGAAGTTAAGTCACCGACATGAATGACCTTACAAAGTACCACCACATTTCTGATCAAAGAACAAAACTGACATCTGCCGCCGTGTTTGTGAAAAAGGTGTATCCTAGCCACAAACACGCATACAAAATGTATGAGTTGGTTCGTGTCTAATCCGTTCCGGGCAAATTATTTTTATCTAGATAACAAATTTCTATGGTTTTGACAGATGGGATTGCTGCACATTTGAATCCACCGTTATGGATTCTCGATCAAGAGTTAAGTTTAAGTTCCATGTCGGTTTGTCGGTGGTTAAGTTGTGGAAAATATCCATTTGAATTTCACATAACTTTCATGTGATCCCATAATTGTAAATTGCACCACTAAATCACATGAACGTTATGTTTCCAATGAAATCTATATGATTTCCCATATAGAATTTCTAATGCTATGTGATATTCAGGTAAAAATCATTGTTTTTGTTTTTGGAAAAATACTATGTGCGTTCTTAATAGAAACTAAGTGAAAACTTTTTTCAGTGCAGTACTCGCTGACCTTTTGAATGTCACTGGCCAATCCGACACTGTTGTTATCATTCTCTGAAAGGGGTCGGTCAATTCTAAGAATTGTTAAAGCATACATAGGATCACTGTCCGGTGGTTTCATGTTCTGCCAACATCTAAAATGGAAATATATTCTTAATCAATAGGTACCGTTTGGGAATGTAGTCCTTCAACCTTTCATTTTCATTTTCTCCAACATTGGATCCTGCTACGCCTTCCGTTGAATCGTGATATGTACCGGATCTTTCTTCATTTTAAATCCTTGAATTTTCAGCAGCTTACGAATGATGGTAGTTCACTCAAAGGTGGTGGAAGCTGCTAATTTCTTGTAATTGATTGCTTTCAACAGGCAAAATAAACAATATTTCGGTTCCTCGTTCACAAGTAAAAGTTATTTTCACTAGGTATGGATCCGAGTTTCAATCCTCTACTTGACCCACCATGACAAGTTTTTCGGTTAGGAGTTGGAAAACCACCAGCTTGCTGGGATTAGGATATTAATTGCCGTGAAATTTTGTAGAGCAAAACAAAAACAACGATTATTCTAGATAAACATTTCAAAATGTCCTATCTGCTTTGATCGATTCTCTTCATCGACTTTCTCTTTTGATAACCACGCCTACGCAAACATATTTCGTGCTCTTTATGCCACACAGTTTGATAGCAGAAGTTATTGTCTTGCGCTTAGAACTTTGAAAACAGCAAGGAATGCTTTTGAAATTGAGTTATTAACGAAAAAGATAGTCGATGAAGAGAATCGATGAATGCAGATAGGACCCTTTGAAATGTTTATCTAGTATTCGTTTCGGTGACATTAGGTCACACACACAGTCACTGTTTATGAGCAGTCTCACTAACACTTGTGATTCAAAGTTTCACCTTTGATTGACAGAGGCGCTGTTATCAGTGACGTTTGACATTTGTAGGTGAGAAGGGAACAGTTTCCAGTCTTCTTGATTTGAAGTCTTCGATCCCCTGGTCTCACCGATCGCTGGATGGGGAACGGTGTCGTCAGATGCCCGTTTATCAACAGGTGGAAAGAGGATAGAGCTGCGACTCGTGAGAGCAAGTCCACTAGTTGACCATTGTGCCGAGAGAACGCATGTTCTCAAAGAGAAAGGAGTGCCTAACTCTATCGAAGGCATGGTCCAGGTCGAAAGAGACGAGCTTTCCAGCCTGTTTGCACGCCGTCAATTGAACAATCCCATTTTTCAAATCTAGCGTGGCCTGGAAGATGTTGTTGTGTCCGTTTGAACACTTTTGAGCGTTGCTGAGTAGATGATGTGTTGTCATCAGGAGTTGAAACAGTTTACGTTTTTAACACACTCCCTTGATGTCGTGCGCAACAGTCTGTTTATATTCGTACACTCATGCTCTACCGTCGTCTCTCTCACGCAACTCAAACGGTAGAACAACAACTTTCGAGCAAAAAGAAAATGATCAAACTACTATCATATGACATGAGTGATTTTGTTCTAATTCCTCAATTTGGAGTAAATTATACTATTTCTGTTCAAAAATGTTGTTACTAGGACATCGTTGCTTGCTGTTTTCATAATTCATATAAGCACAACATCAGCAGCTCTTATTATGAGAAAAACTAAAATACATATATTCATGACGGTCTTCGGATCTTCTTTCAGTATGCGGAAGAGAATTTTGTAATCAAAGTTGAGGCGCGAAGTAGGTCGGTATGTACCAGCAGTGTTGCCAGTTCCCTTCTTCTTCACTAAAACGATTACACCGTCTACAAATTCTGATGGAAAATTAGATCCTAGCGCCTCATTTAGACAAGGTTGAGCTCGCGATGTATGATGTCAAATGTTCGGAGGTAAAATTCCTTCGGAATCCCATCTGGCACTGGTGAGTTTTTGACGTTGGATAACGTCTTTTGGCAACATACGGGGGTACAAAATTAAAAACAGTCATTTTGGATGCGTTACGAAAAATTAAAAGATTTTGAACGATAATAACTCAACCGTCTCTCTATAGATTTACGAGATAATGGCATCAATCGATTGGAAATATTTCTAGCAATTTGCTGAATGTTTTAAAACTATTGATTTCATTCTGTAAACTGTTGAAAAATGGTTAAAAGTAAACCATTGTCTAAAGATGGTGAAAATCGATTGATTTTTTTATATTCTTATACTTTCTCCAACCGAGACATCAGATGCGAGTATCTGACACCTCTGATATTTTCTGTTCTACTATATTAGCGTCCAACAAGGTCACCCGTTCCATCATTGTCTATCCGATCGACGACCCAGCAGCAGAGCAGCAGAGCAGCAGTACCAGAGCAGCAGTACCAGAGCAGCAGTACCAGAGCAGCAGTACCAGAGCAGCAGTACCAGAGCAGCGGAAGCAGAGCCTGGGGGCGAAAGGAAAACTACGCCGAGTGCGTTGGTGCCAGTGCTTCGGTATACTGGGCCGCCGTCATGGAATGCCCAGCTGCTGCAGTTCTCAGTCGGTCGTATTCACCGTCTGCTCCGCAAGGACAACTACGCCGAGCGCGTTGGAAAAATGCCACAACATTATCAAGAAAGAGTTTAACGTACGTATGCGAGTATTTGACACCTCTGATATTTTCTGTTCTACTATATAAGCGTCCAACAAGGTCGCCCGTTCCATCATTGTCAACAACATCAGCCCAACAAAACGGCTCTTTTCAGGGCCACCAAACTTTCGCAAAAGAGTTATTAAGGAATATTCCTAAAATATAATATACACAATTAAGTACAACAC